AAATGATTCTTCTAATTTAAAAAAAAAACGAAAAAACAAAGCACATATTAAAAATTCAAGAAAAATACAAATGTTGAGCAAAAATTCAGAGACGAAATATCTGTCACCAAATCCTTATTAGAAGAAATACGGTAAGCAATATTGCCAAAACCTAATGAGGTTGTGATGGCTATGGCTATTGTTTAGGTCTAGAATGTTTTCCAATAGGTCCTTGTGTTAAAGATATGATCCCTGCCTGAGGCATAGAAGATGGTAGATACATTAATAGGTAGGACTTAGTGGGAGATCTTCATGGAACCTGCCCCTTCTCCTCCTTTGTATCCTGGTCATTAGATGGGAGGCTTTGCACCCCGTCCCCCGCATGCTCCCTGTCCTGATATATTATTATATTCAAGTCCCAGGCAACATAGCTATGAACATAGACTTCAAAACTGTCATACTTTCCTCTTATACTTTGATTATTTCAGGTATGTTGTTACAGTAACAGAAAACTGACTAGTACAGTCATCTAGAACATTAATCCTTTTTTGCCTGATTAGATTTTTGTTTGAAAGACATATTTGATTAATTGTTTTTGGCTGATTATATTTATTATTTAAAGAAAGTGCGTATTTTAAAATGAAATGGAGATCTTTTTTAAAGGTTAAAAACTCATTCAACTCTATGTGTTACAGGGTTTATACTGAGTTCAATATTGTATAGCTACATTTGGTCAACTGTGAACCTAAAAATTTACAGCCACTTTTGAAAGAGATGTATCCTTGCTCTGGAAACTGTTATTGACTATGTTAAAGCTGTAATGAAATGCTTCTTCTAATCATGTGGTTATTAAATTTTGAAAAAGAAAAAAAAATCCCTTTGTTATTATTTCAGAGCAAGAAGTTCATGTTTCCATGATGTCCAGTAGTCTATACGAGGGTCCCTGATAGTAGATGTAGGCTTTCCATCATAAGTCTTTGAACTGCCAAGCCCAAGGCTTTTTCCTTCCTGGGCTACTTCTTGCCCACTAAAGAAGCCCTGCTACGATTTTTGGGAAAGAGTGCAGGTTGAGTAGATGGTTAGAGTTTTTTGTTTTTAACACAATATGTTAACTTAAAGCACATAAGAACTCCCTCTTCCAAAATTCAGAAGTCGTATAACAACTATCTTGTAAGAATTAAATCAGTAAGTTGACTTTTTATAATGGATTTGTCAGCATTTACTGAATCTGTAACTCATGTAAGAAGATATTCCACTGGATTCTGGAGAGATACAAAAGTGAATAAAACCCTCCTCTGTCCTCAAGGAGTGTGCAGTGTTACAGGGAAGAAGAGCACACATGTGATTGTAGGACAATAGCAAAGAGAACATAAGAGCCTGCACAGAGCATACTGTTGCTGGGAGCAGGGCAGAGTCACTGCTGACTTGTAGGACCAGGGAAGTTCTGGAAGGGGGGCATTTAAACTGGGCTGCTGTAGGTAGGTAAGATTCATAGTTTAGAGAGCAATATTTATACCAGGGGAATGGCACGACCTGAGACCTAGAGGCACAAATGTGTGGATGTATCTGGGGAAGCATGCATTGTTCATTTGTCTGAGGTGCACATCCTACTCCTGTTAGCTCATTCTGCAGGTGCAGTTGAAGACAGAGTTGAGAAGAACTGAGGAGGACAAAAATCAGTTTTGGTTAGGGACACTGCTTTCACTTTGCATTTATTTTGGTTTTGTTGTATGTGCTTGTCTTTCAGGAGATTACTTGGAATCATTACCAAAAAGGATGTGTTGAAGCATATAGCACAGATGGCAAACCAAGATCCTGATTCCATTCTCTTCAACTAGAATCATGGGGTTATTTTGGAAATGAAACAGGAAGGACATTGCAGACCATGGATATATTTTATTAACTGGGTACCCAAAACATATTTCCTGTATTTGGATGGTGAAGTCATATTAGTGTATTGTCTCTTTCCTACAAGTTAACCAGTTGCACTACATAATCTCTGGAAATTAATCTTCTCTTTAGGAGAAAATACAGTTAGGCTTATGTGACATTGCATTAGGAAGGATTCATGAAAGAGCAAACAAGATTGCTATGGTTTAATTATATTTGTTCTTTAATTTTAATTTTAAAGTAATTGTTAGCCAATATGCAATCAGTAAAAACTATGCAAGAAAAATTCCAACTATCTTGGCACATAATCTGCAGGAAACTCACAAAAAAGTCATTTTGGGGGACTCTTGTCTTTGGTTGAAGATGAAGTGTAAACTAAAGGACTTTGCTTTCCAAACCCAAAAAGGAAAGCCAGAAGGAAATCGTAATGGCAATTTCTTGACTGTGAAGATTCAGTTCCAATGTTATTCTTATCTCTGTTACAATATTTAGCATTATTGGTTTGTTATGTGTTTATGTATATGTTAATTTTAGTTTCTGATTATAAGACAATGCTGCTTTGGTTAATCTCTTCCAGATGAATTGAGAGAGGTTGACTTTTATAGCTTGCTTGTTCCTGGTACTCTTTTGAAGTGCACAAAGTTAAGTTACAGAGCTTTCTTCTTGTCTGCAAAAAAGCTAAATTTCTAGGTGGTTAGCTAGTGGACAAGAACTTTATCACGAGTTTGTTAGTAGCAAGGAATGATTTCTTCTAGCTTCCTTGAAATCAAGATAAGAGTTCTAGGCAAAAGTCAGTGAGTAGGAATTTCACACTTTTTGTGAAGTCCTAACAAAACCTCTTACCCAGATGCCACCTCTGCGAATGATGGTGCTTTAGGCTTCTGAGATATGTTAAGAACAGTAAATGAAACTCAGTCTGTGTTGCATACTGGTAAATCAGGGAAGATTCAGAGCTGTGTCTACATCCTGATGCATTCTTTTGGGAAAACCACCAGTTCTAAAATAATTGGACACTCAAGCACCTCCAGTATTGAGTACGCACAATGGGCCAGTGTTGTCCCTGTGAGCATAAAGTCGGCTTGGGATACTTTCATATATTATTGAAGGTGTTGGAATAGAATATGGAGCTGCAACGATTTTGAGGGTGCACTCTTAGAGATCTAACTAAAATGAAGAGCCATCCTAAGACCTTGGGGTATGGACAAGGCCTGGTGACACCAAAGGTGCTTGTACCCAGTAGAAAAGGTGCCTGTCTCAATTTCTTACCACAAGGTAGTTTAAAAAATATCATTTTAGAGATGCCTGGTAGAATGAATGAGCCACCACCATCATTCCAATCACTATTTCATTTTTCTGTCATTTTACCTGTGTGCAGTTTTTCTCCCAGCACTCTGCCTTTCTTCTCTCAACACTGACTCCTCTTTGGAATGGAGTACTGTGCTTGGTTAATCATTTCTAATAACAAAAATGATGCCTACCAGGGCTAGTTAAATTGCCAAGGCTCAGCAGTCTCATAGCACTTGAACTAGAGGTGACTTTTGCCATGTGGTCGAGTTGCTGCTGTCATGCCTCCATTTCTGTCCCAGATGCCCATGACAATGAGACTGCAATGTTAGTGAGAGCTCAGCCTTGTTCATTTTACAGATCTATTCCCAACACTTCCTAGTAACCTTTGAGTCCAGAATGAAAAGGTACTTGGTACATTCCCTTGTATAACCATCCCCTTAAGCAACTCAGTGTACCTCATTTTAAATGTTGTTGATCCCTGAGTCTAAGACTTTTGTTTTTAACTCCTAATTCTTACTGTTCCAAAATCTGAAATTCTTTCATTATCCAGGGATGAGTAGCTGGGGCTTATTTTTAATTTTGTCTTTACTATATCAAGGAAGCACCAAAGTTTCTCTTTTAAGTATATTGCTCTAACATTTTAATGAAAAAGAATGTTTCATGCTATCATAATCATGGCTTCCGGTGACTTTATGTCTTGTTCCTTCCATGCCACTGCATTCTTTGTATCAGATAAGACTTATCTGTGTATTTCTGGTTCAGTTCCTATCTCACGAAACTTCCTCACGAAACTTCGAAAAACAGGAAACGTCATTGTGTTTGGTATTTGATGGCAAGGTCAAGGTAAGGTTTGGTCATATGTCATAGAACAGTAGTGGCATGGAGAGTGTCTTGCTCAATTCTTTGTACCTTCCAGTCTCTTCTTCGTAGACAGCTGAGCCAGTGTTAAGGTGCTACTTCAGAGAATATGAGAAATCAGATAACACCGTGCCAAGGTATACTTTCTAGATGCTAAGTACCGATTGGCCCTTCAGAGAATTGACAATATCCCCTTGATACCTTACTCCTGGTAAATCTCATTCATTAACCTCAGTTTCTCAGGAATCCTTGCAGCTTGTATACTAGAAGTATCTATAGTATATGATGTCCACTATATGTCCAATCCTATGCTTTGGCTCAAAGTTTAGCTAGTTCTGACTGGAGTACTCTACGAGAGTGCTGGCTCAACACCTGGACACACAGTGGTTCTTGTCTTGAGGTGAAGGAAAGTTTTTCCTGCCATTGCCATTCCAATCAGTTAGATATTCTTCATTTAAAAAAAAAAACAAACAAAGCCAATATAAGGAGGTATGGCAACAGCCTCAAATGACCAAATACCTCAGTGGCAAAATACTGGAGAATTTATGATTTTAAGATGAATTGAGACAAGTTTATTTTAGTACTTGAAAGAAATTGCCTGATATAAAGGAAGTGTTTACAGAAGAATGCCAATAATTCTTCAGCAGAATTTGGATTTTTCCAAGGAAATATATCTAAAGGATATCTAGCTGTGAAGGAACTTCATGAATTTGTAAGTCTAACTGCTGTATTTTCCATCTTCACAGCTCCAATTTAAAGACTCTAATGAAGCTGAAAAAAAGTGCTTTGGAGGGAACAAACGGGACTGACAATGTGAAATAATGTCTGTCAAAGGTCGTTTCTCCTGTGTGTTTGGTTAGAAATAAACAAGTTGCAGCACCCTCTTCTGTCTAGCCCCAGCGTCCTAGTTCAGTCCATCTGCATGACAGAGGTGATGTGATCAACAGAATAGAGAGCCTTTGGTGGATTATCTGACATTAATGATACTTAGAATTTGCCAGCTGGCAGAGTAAACTATTAATTTGCTGATTGAATTGCAAAGTGATCCAATAGTTTTGGCATCAAAGTCTGAATATCAATCCTTTACAGGAAGATCAGGGGCCTTTCTAAAAAAAAATAGATTTCTAATATTTGGGATGAACTTTACTGTCTTAAAAAAAAACCTTAATTTTTGTAATCACCTCTGGTATTGTCTGGGTTTCATTGGGATGACAGTAGAAGAGCCCTGCTTAACAAAATGTGAGTGGTGTCAGATGGCTGTAAGAAATTCGTCCCATGTACCAGTCCATGCAAGGTTGCATTAGGTGGTCAGAAACTGCTTGATTTTGAACCTCAAAGTACTGTTTGGTTCAAGGACAGTCTGGTTTCATGGAGAGGTTGACCAAAGTTCAAGGAAGGCTATACTATCTAAATGTCTAAATGATAAGCTTTCAATCATGTTTTAGCCTCCCGACTATGCCCTTATTGTATATTGAAAAGGAAAAGGTATTTTCTCAGATGCAGCTCAGTAGCTGTATAGGTTTGTAGATGAATGGGTGAGATGGAGCCGGGTAATTGCTGGACTTTGCTTCTGCTTCATTTATTTGACTCAAAGGAGAAAAATTCTGGGGAGAGTGTGTATTAGCAACTTTAACCTAATCTCTATGTTTGTTGGCCACATTCTCATCCCTGAACATCTGGATCTCGGCAAAGTTTTGAAGAGATGTTTGTCTGATTTTGCCAAATCCCCCAGGAAGGATAGAAAAAAAATGTGTTATGTGGAGTTTGCCTTTCGTGGATGGGGCCTGTCAGGTTGCGGGGCTCAGCCCAGCCCAGCGCAGCCCAGCCCAGCCCAATCTTGCAGTCAAAACTTCCTACCTCTAAGTTGTTACCAAAGGGTCTTTGCCCTCGGTGTTCACACTTGTTGAATGAATGCCCTGACTAAAGTTGGGCCTTTTGAGGAGAGACAGCATGTGCTGATACATATGAGGCAAAACTTAATCTCTGCCTTCTTCTCCCCAACCTTTTCTTTTTTGTTCTCCCTACCATGTCCTAAATTCACATCTCTCTCCATTTTTACAAGCATACTGTTTTGAATATGGACTTTGGTGGGGAGAGAGGATGATTCTGAGATCAGAGAATGGCAACTCTTCAGGGTATAGGGCCGTTGACACTTTCTTCACTCCACGGTAGGGGCCAAAGCCAGCAATGCTGGAAGTGTTGAGGGCTTTAGCTGTATTACATACTAATCCAAATGTGTTGGAATTTGGGAATGGTTTAGATTTTAATTAGAGAGATGCAATTTAGTGAAGTGGGGAAGAAGGACCTCTGATAATGTTTATCAAAATAGGAACATTCAGCTTCACTGTCATGTAGGGGTACCTCAGAATATGATTCTTCAAGAATGCTTCTTTTCCTTCCGTTTCACTTTTGTCCTGTCTTCACTGTCATGCCTTTTTAGTACTCAGCTTTTTATATAAGTATTTACTTTTTTTTACTATATATTTGGTCCTTTTGGACTGTACAATGATAAGAATTTATTCCATTCAAGAGAAAATGATATGTTTAGTATTTTGTTCTCTTAAATTGTCTTTTGAAGCTATGCTGCTAACCAGGTTCAGGCCAGAAAGTAATTGGGCCTGACCAGCATCTTGGTCGTGTCACCTAAGGGTAACAATGATGTCATGATGGTGACTCTTCTTTATTTGACCAGGGCTAGCCTCCTGTTCATACCTCTGCCCATTAATTTCTGGCCATGGGACATATACCAGCTGTTGGGTGAGCCATTGGAGCCAGAAGGATCAGAGGGGCCAGGATCCAGCCCATGGGCACCGTGTGAATTACTCTGTAGGATGCTCATTTCTAGGGCTGCTTTCAATTGCAGTAGCCAAAGAAAACCTGTCTGACTGGACATTTGAATTCCCAAGACTTGGTCAAAGTTCAGCTGAAGCTATTGTATAGATACTTGCAGTAGCCCAGCACCAAGAAACAAGCTTTAACCAAAGCTAATAGAACCCAAGTTTCCACAGGAAGCTTGGTACTGAGCTGTTCAGATCAGTCATTTACCTGAGTGTTGCCAACCCTTCAGCCATGCTTTTGTAGCTTTAGCCTCACCTGCTTATAGACATAGCCCAAGTCAAAGCTGTGGCTCACTGCTCACTTTGTTCTGCTCCCTGTTTATGTATAAAGGAAAACATTGATTGGGGAGTAAGGAGACCTGGTTTCTATTCCTTATGCTTCTACTAACTAGCCTCAAGATCTTAACCGCTCTGTGCCTCAGTGTTCCCATCTGCAAAATGGGGATAGTGTAAATTGCCCTACCTACCTCACAGGGTTGTTGTGAGGATAAACTGAGACAATGAATGGAAAGCACTTTGACAAGTAAGTGCTATGCAACTTGTAAGAAATAGAAACATCATGTTTAAGGCAATGGAATGGACATTAGCAGAAGGGTTAATGAAATTGTCCAGCCCTTTCTCTCTGTGGCTTAAACCTAGGTCGCCATTGCTTTATACATTTTCACTTAGCACAGATTTGTAATTATGCATGTAATAAAGCACAGCCTTATTCAACTTGGTCCTGGTGTGCATTTTTTATTTTGGATCATGAAAGAAAACATGAAGGTGGGGTATGGAGTTTGGGGATGGTAGTGTAGAAAGCAACTGCAACCCCCTACTGGCAGGCTCACTTCTTTTTTGGGGGGTGGGGGACTTTTTGAGACAAGGTCTCCTTGTAGCCCTAGCTGGCCTGGAACTCACTATGTAGACCAGGCTGGCCTCAAACTCACAGAGATATGTGGGCCTCTGCCTCCTGAGTGCTGGGATTAAAGGCATCCACCACCATACTTGGCCAGGCTCACTTCTTTAAAAAAATAGTTTATGAGGGGCTGGAGAGATGTCTCAGTGATTAAGAGTACTGGTTGCTCTTGCAGAGGACCTAGATTCAGTTCCCAGGACCCACATGGCAGCTCACAACTATCGGTAAATCCAGTTCCAGGGGATCCACTGCCGCCTTCTGGCCTCTGTGAGCATTTCATGCATGTGGAGCACTTACTTACATGCAGGTGATACACTCATACACATAAAGTAAAAATAAATAAAAAAATTTAAGTATGAAATACTTATTGCACTTATGCATTCAATTTTCTGTCTCTGTCTCCTCTCTGTCTCTCTGTCTCTCTCTGTCTCTCTCTCTCTCTCTGTCTCTCTCTCTCTCTCTCTCTCTCTCTTTTTCCCCCCTTGGGATAGAATCCAGTATCTCATATATTCTAAGCAGTCATTCTGCCACTGACCTGTATCCCCAGCCTCAGTAGTGCCTTTTACTCTAGGAAGACAAGTGAGGGGCAGCTTGTGTTTCTAAGACATTGTAGACACCTGGACCTCTTTCACTGTGACTGCTTACAGGCTCTTTTCTCATATATTGGTGATACTTTCTTGATGACATGAGCATGAACTTGGAGCTACATTTTGCTCTCTTAAGTTCTTAATGATTTAGATAATGAATTTTGGCAGGCTTTCCTACAGTTACTTCAAATGTGGAGTAGGATGGGTGATTAAAATGTTCCTCCAGGGCTGGAGAGATAGCAGTTAAGAATGTGGACTTCTCTTCTAGAGGACCTGAGTTTGGTTCCCAGCACCCATGTGAGGCTGCTTATAGCCACCTGTAACTCCAACTCCTTGGAGATACCATGCCTCTGGTATCCCCACTCATGTGCATATACCCTGGCATCTCCTCTGCTATATCCTCTAATATCTCCCTTCTCATGTACATATGCCCCCACACAGACAGGCATGAAAACACATCATTTAAAAAAATAATAAATCTTTAAAAGAGTTAAGGGACTGGAGAGAGAGTTCGGCAGTTAAGAGGATGCTCTGCTCTTGCAGAGGACCAAGTTCAGTTCCTAGTACTCCCATTGGGTGGCTCACAACTGCCTGTAACTCCAGCTCCAGAGAATCCGATAGCCTCTCTTCTGGCCTCCACTCATGTCCACAAACCTATACATATATACATAAATATATATATGTGTGTGTATGTATATGTATATATATTATATATGCATATATATGCATATAATTTTTTTAAAAACTAAATGTTGAAAAGTGAACACCAGTCTTCTTAGTGAATTCCTGTTGGATTGGGACTAGGGAGACCCTGTCAAAATCAAACCAAAATCAAACAAACAAACAACAACAACAGCAAAGTTGCTTTGATGGAGTATGAAGCACAGACTGACCATCATCTGGTATCAGAGTGCCCAGAGAAAAACCTGCGAATGGCCAGCAGATGTCAGTGCAATCGTGAAAAGTACTGGTATGGCTAAGGTTTGTCCAGAGGTAACTATTTGGAAGGCAGGTAAATAAAGAAACAATAAATCATATCTATAGCTAGGTACTGGGAATACCAAATTCAAACACAAAATAATTGCTGGCTTATTAGACATTCTATATATGCTTTTGGACATAAAATATATGCTTTTCTTAATTATGAACAGAATTCAAAGTTAGGTGTGGTCCAGCATACCTGTAATCCCAGCAGATTTTAAGGCTAGCCTGTACTATATAACAAGACTCAGTCTCAGAAACACAAAGAAAACTATAAATTTTTTAAAAAAATATTTTATTATTTTTATTTTATGTGTACGCGTGTATTGCCCGCATGTAGGTACTTACGCACCTGTGTCGTGCAATGCCCATGGAAGAGAGAAGAAGCTGTCAGATCCCCTGGAATGGGAGAGAACAACCAGTGTTCTTAACTGCTGAGCTATCTCTCCAGCCCCAGAAAACTATCAATTACATGGCAGTACCTAGCTTTAAGAAGCTTAAATGTTCCCATGTCTGAAAGTTGTTTCTTTTTCAAAGCAGTATCCTAGGTGGAAACAAGCCAAGCAAAAAGGCTCCAGACCTTCCGTTGTCTAGATGCCCATATCATTTATTTTGTAACCAAGACACTTTTGATAACGGGAGGGCCTTGATAATTGTCTAAGGACAAGAGGTATGGACTTAAATATCACAGGCAAAGAGAAGTGTAATCACTGTTCCTCAGGCCTCTGCAGCTCCTAACTTTCATACTCACATAGTCTCCCTCTAGCTGCAAGTTGCCCAAGTGCCTTCCATAGGATTTCAGGCTCTGATCTTCCCTTGATTTCCCATGGATAGTCTGGACTCTCTTGTCTCATAATAAGCACTCCCAAGTGCTTGAGCATTGAGCTTATTCTCAAAAATCAGTGTTGGGTGTGGTGGTTCATTCCTGTAATCCCAGCTACTTGGGAGGCTAAATGAGGAAGGAGTATCCAGAGTTCCAGGCCAGTCTGGAACATAGTGGGATCCTGTCTCAAAGGAAAACAAACAAACAAACAAACAAAAAACCCAAATCACAACCAGGTTGTTACCATCTCAGTAGGTGATGAAAGGTATGTTCAGGCTCTTATTAACCGAGTGATTTTATCACAAGTTTTGATCTCTCTGGACCTCAGTAACCACCTGTAAAGTAGAAATGATAAAACCTGCCTCATTGGACCATTGAGATGATAAGTCAAAATTAGATATGAAAACTGGACTTTGCAAATGGGCTACATGAACTAATTCAGTTATGAGGGCTAAAAAGATTACATTTGGGGAGAAAGTTCACTCAAGCAGGTCATATACTATTTAGTATCATTTAAGGTCATATACTATAGTAGGGACTATGAAAGAAAAAAAATCATATCCATAGCCTGGTTACAATCCAAACCACAGACAACTTCTTTTTAAAATTTTTTATTATTTTTATTTTATGTGCATGTGTGTATTGCCTGCATGTATGTAAGTTCACCCATGTCATGCAGTGCCCACAGAAGACAGAGAAAGTATCAGATCCCCTGGAACTGGAGTTACTGACAGTTGTTAGCTGCCATGTAGGTGCTGGGATTCGAACCTGGGTCTTCTGCAAGAACAGCCAGTGTTCCTAACCACTGATCCATCTCTCCAGCCCCCGCAGACAACTTCTAATGACATAAATGAAGTCTTTTATAGTGAAGAAATACTTCTTCCTTAACCTGTGTGGGCTCGGCAGCTTCTGATGGCTGTTTGTTCAACCGTCTTGGACACTCCTCTGGCCCCAGCATGCTCCCTGATGATTTCTCCCTCTGAGATTCTCAATTTGCCATTAAATTAGAGCATCCCATGTACACTCAAAACATCTGAAACTTACAAAGAAACTCTGAGAATATTTACCCAGATATTCCCCAGCATGACAAAATACCCCAGTTACTTGCCTGTCATTCAGTTACAAAACAAAAATTCTCTGACTGTGAATCAATGCCATCACATACAGCTCTCTCTCTCTCTCTCTCTCTCTCTCTCTCTCTCTCTCTCTCTGTGTGTGTGTGTGTGTGTGTGTGTGTGTGTGTGTGTGTGTTGGGAACAGAGGGTTGCCAATACACTAGAAATATCTGAATACACATACAGCCCTGAATTTCGTTATAACCCTATGAGCTATGGAAAATTTGGGGAAATGAGACTGTTTTGGTTGAGATTTTTCTCAATATCTCAGATGCAGGGATAGCAGAAACTGAAACACAATGCTTTTGAGCTGAAGTCCAATGACCTTTTTGTAGTGCTGGAATAGACCCAGGGTCTTGTGCATACTAGGCAAGCACTGTACCACTGAGCAATACCTCCAGCCCTCAGTGATATTTCTACTATTATTTTTTATTGAATTTTTGTGTATTTCACACAGAACATCCCAATCAATCTTAATCATCTTTATACCTCCCATAGCCTCTCTCACTGGAATTCATACATCTGTCATTTGTCTTAAGGCCTATTGAGTCAAGTTAGTGTCCCCAGACAGCCCTCAGTACAAGTTCATCTACTGAGGTGTAGTCAGCTTATCTAGAGTCTCTCACTTTAGGAAAATCAGTTCTTCCTCACCCAGCAGTAATCAGTTGCCAGTATTTCTTCAGCTAAGATTGGGGTCAGCTGTCAGTTTCCCCAGTTCTATGCTGGGTTTTTGTGTTTAAATTTGCATGGGTCTTGTGCATGCTGACACTGTTGCTGTAGGTTCATATGAGCAGGGTCCCAGGATCTTGTAGGAAGGACTCTATTTCCGTATGGTCATGCACCTACTCCCTGGTTCTTACAATCTTTCCACCCACTCTTCAGCAACAGTTCCTGAGCCCTGAGTGGGTGTAGTTTAATATAAGAGTCCTATCCAAGGACTACCATTCTGCAGACTCTTAGTCTCTACACTTTGGCCATTTGTGACCCTTTTGTGTTTCTGGCCCTGTGTTGCATGAGGGAGCTTCATTAATGTGAAATGAGATATTCATGATTGTCTTCTTTACACCTTGCTCTATGTTCTGTGAGGCTTAGTTGTAGAAGTTGCACTGTAGATGTGCCACTTAGACTTTGGAAATTCACAGACAATATCTGGGTGAGCAGTTGTGGTACTCTGTAATAATACCATCTGGTGCAAAAGAAGCTTCTTTGATGAGTGGTGACTGGGATATTTGTCTGCAAATATAAGGATATATATTTTGCACATAGTAACAAATTATATTAGTCTAGGAATGTGACAGTTTGGGGCTTTGCTCTA